CCCAAAGCTACACAGCTAACTAACAGCAGAACACAATGCAAGTTACTCTCAGTCCAGTTCTTCATCCATATCACCATGCTGTCTCAGAAGTGCCTACTACACAAGTCTCATCTCCTTCAAGAGTTCATTCAAGAGTTTGTTCAGATGCATCAATACAAATCTGTATTTTTATTGATACATTACAGATCTATACACACCCACTACTGACAGTTATTCCAACTCAACCTGAAATAATTAAAAAAAAAAAAATCACAAGGCACTTTTATTTATTTTTGAGAGAGAAAGTATGAGGGGCAGAGAGAGAGAGGTAGAGAGAGACTCCCAAGCAGGCTCCACACTGTCAGCACGGAACCAAATGTGGGGCTCAAACTCATGTGAGGTCATGACCTGAGCTGATCTTGGAATGGTTAACCAACTGAGCCACCCGGGCACCCCCACAAAGCACTTTTAATTGAGATTCAACAAATATTAACTAATTTATCTGTTTTGATTTTCCAAATATTTCAAGAGTAAATAGATCAACCTTTCTCTTAAAAATATCTAAATCCATGTTTCTCAAAGTGTGGGCGGTACCAGAATCAGAATCACATGAGGTACCCATATCATTCCCCAAATCAATAGTTTCTAAAACTCCCAAAGTGGCATTTTAAAAAGTTCTCCAGGTGAGGCACCTGGGTGGCTCAGTCAGTTAAATGTCCAACTCTTGATTTCGGCTCAAGTCATGCATGATCTCATGGTTTGTGGGATCGAGCCCTAAGTCAGGCTCTGAGTTGACAGGATTCTGCTTGGGATTCTGCTTGGGCCCTCTCTCTGGGGCCCTCCCTCATGCATGTTCTGTCTTTTTCTCTCTCAAATAAACATTTTTTTTAATTTTTAAAAAGTTCTCCAGATGATTCTTACTCATTCAAAAGATATTTAATGAACATTCACTCTACAATATTCTAGTGGGCAAAGATAAAGGAGTAAACAAAAACAAGAAAACATTTTAGATTTTAGCTGTGCTATGAAAGAAAAAAGGTAACATGTAAGAGGGTGACCTAGAGGACCACTTTAAAAAGAGCCATCAGACACAGGATCTTTAGGGTGATGAAAATACTCTGCATGGTATTATAATGATGGGTATAGGTCATTATATATTTGTTCAAATCCACAGAATGTACAAACACTAAAAGTGAGCACTAATGTAAACTATGGACTTTGGGTGATTATGATCTACCAGTGTAGGTCCATCAACTGTGACAAATGTACTAGTCTGGTGGGGGATAGGGCAAACAGGGAGGCTATGCATGCATGGGAGCTGGGGATATATGGGACATCTCCGTATCTTCCTCTTAATTTTGCTATAAACCTAAAACTATTCTAAAAAATAAAGCCTTAGGGGTGCCTGGCTGGCTCAGTCGGTTAAACGTCCCACTCTTGATCTCAGTTCAGGTCATGGTCTCACAGTTGGTGAGTTGAAGCCCCACATGGGGCTCTGCACTGAGTGTGGAGCCTGCTTGAATTCTCTCTCTCCCTCTCTCTCTGCCCCTCCCCTGCTCATGTGCTCTCTCTCTCTCTCAATATAAATAAGCTTTAAGAATAATAAAAAATAAAGCCTTAAATAAAAAAAAAGAGCAGAGAAGGCCTTTCTAATGAGGCAACATCTGAAGTGAGGAACCCTTCACTAAAAACAAGTGGTACTTAAACTTAGTGTGCATCAAAATCACCTAAAGGACTTGTTAAAACAGATGGCTGGCTGGTCAGAGGTCTGGAGTGGGGCCCAAGAATTTGCATTCCTAACAAGACTGAAGATGATGTTGATGCTGCTGGTCCAGAAACCGCATTTGGAGAATCACTGATCTAGAAGGAACAGTTAAAAAGTGTGAAGAACTTCGGTATGTTAGAGGAACAGAAAAAAGGCCAGTTATTAGGAAAGGTAATGCACTTGTCACTGTTTCAAAACCACTTAACATGTTGACTTAAGCTACCAGTTATGGCTCCCTAAGACCAGAAAAGGAATCGTTGTTGGACAATACTTACATTTGTAAAGCATTTCACTGTTGTTGTTTTTTTTTAATTTTTTTTTAACGTTTATTTATTTTTGAGACAGAGAGAGACAGAGCACGAATGGGGGAGGGTCAGAGAGAGAGGGAGAGACAGAATCCGAAGCAGGCTCCAGGCTCTGAGCCATCAGCCCAGAACCCGACGCGGGGCTCGAACTCACAGACCGCGAGATCCTGACCTGAGTTGAAGTCGGACGCTTAACCGACTGAGCCACCCAGGCGCCCCAGCATTTCACTGTTTATAAAAGCATTTTCACATTTATTATTTCACTTAACTTAGTGAGATGTAAGTAAAGGACTATTAACTACATTTTAGAGATAAAGAAACTAAGGGGCAGAAACATTATAAACCTTCTTTGCAGAAAAGAATCAAGTGGCATAACTATGTCCTCTGACCCCAAACCCAGTATTCCTTCTAGAACAACATGCTTGCTTTTTTAAAGAGCAAAGCAAAGGATACATACAGGAGTTAATACTAAAAAACTATTTTCTAGACTCCCTGTCTAAAAAGATGGTGGCTCCCAGACTTAATTTGTTTTAGATACTGGTTAGAAAGCAACAGTGCCTTAAAAATGACAATATTTAGTTCCATCTACTTATTGCTCCGAGTTCAAAAACAAAGGATAGAGAATGAAGAGAGAATTCAGACTATTACCCTATTTCTCCCGCATAAACATCAGAGTGCCAATTCCATAACCTCAGTCTCTCAGCCACATCACTCAAACACAATTTTCATCTTATGTTCCCTGTAAATCTCTCACCTAATCCAGGCTCCCACAAGAGCACTGAACCCCACATGTCTTACTTATACTCATGAGGCCATGTACATGGGTGTTAGTTATACACCCATTATTGCTTAGTATCTTCAACATCAATCAAATCCTTATTCTTAACATTTTTAGCTGTAGGTCTCAGTAATCAAACCCGAAACATAAGTGAAATCATCATATCCCCCTTCCACCACATACACATACACACACACACACACCGCTCTGCTTCTGTTCCTGAATTCTTTTATTCGCATTAATAGCACTGCCACCCACCAAACAAGAAACCTGGAACTCAGCCTAGACACATTTGCCTCCCCTATACCAATGTCAATTCCCTCTGCCCAACCTCCATTCCCAAGGCCACTTAGAATTAGTTACTACTAGGGCACCTGGGTGGCTCAATCAGTTAAGCTTCGGGCTCTTGATTTTGGTTCAGGTCATGATCTCAAGGTTTCATGGGTTCAAACTCCATGTCAGGCTCTCTGCACTGCCCACCTGCTTGGGATTCTCCCTCTCTCTGTCTCTTTCAAAATAAATGAATAAACAAGAAAAAAAAGAACTAAATAATAATTAAATAGCTGCCATTTCATTAGTTACTATCACATACTACTCACTTTACATACTTCATTCATTCTATCAATAATTCTATGAGGTTGGCAATTTTGTCCTTGTTTCATAACTGAAAAAGCTAAGGCTAAGAAAAATTTATCCGTCCAAGTCACAAGGAGGAAGTAACAAAGTAGACCTCCATATTCAAATGTGTCACCAAATCCATACCTGTCCCCCATTCCAAAATGCTTCCTTCTTTAATACCTGTTATCAGTCATTTATTAATTCCAAATGCTCATTTCTCAGATTACTGTGAAAATTATCTTCGGCCAACCTTGCCTCCCCTTACTCTCCAATGTGCCCCCAAGTGATCTTTCTGGATCACAAACATGATTCCTTTTATCCACTTGATAGAAAAGCCCTTCAGGGACTTTTAGTCTACACTGCACAAGACAGGCTTTTCAGTATGAATCCCAAACCCTTTTGCACAGGTCAGCAATACCTTTCCCACAGTTCTGAATTTCAAGAGCTTTGAAATTTTAAAGTTTTCCAAAATGTGCAACAAAACCCACCCTGAACGGTGGTTATTTCCATCCCATTGGTGAAACATTTGTATGTTTCACTGCAGAAGCATTAATGTATTTGATAACGACTAGTTAACCCTTAGCTCCAGAGATGTGTAAAGTACCTTGTGCTGTAAAAACTCCCCAATCCAGTGAACCACTCACCCTTCAAGAAACCTGTTCCAGGGTTTCCTTTTCAGTGAAGTTCCCCTGACCTTCTCTTGATGTGCCACAACTACTGTATCAAGCACCCACCTCCACTGCTATAGGCAGTATATTTGTTTTCCCTATATGACTATGAATGGGCTCCTCACTGAGTATTTTATTTAATCCTAGCACACTGTCTGGAACACTAGGGGCTCATTAACGTACAATGAAACCCAGCTGTCTCTAACTCCCAATTCCCTTCCAAGTTCATTTCTCCTTCACCCCTAAACCTTAGGATATTCCCCTAAACATGCAGGCCCTTCGCGGCTATTTTCTTTTGCAGAGTTCCTCCTTGCCAATGTCATCCTAAAATTACTCTCCACCAGACAGCTTCTCTCAGCTCTAAACTCTCCAATACCCTTTATCGTCCTCTATTTTAGTCCCTAGTCCCGCTTTCCCCTAGCCTCGAACAGGGCAAGTCCTTCCCTCCAAGGTAATTCGTCCTCACAGCCCTTACCGCTTACCTACTCAACACCTCTCCGGCTACAGGCCTTCCCTCCCAAAACACTCCTCGCAGGAGGCTTCCCGGACCTGGTCCCCTTTCTCTATCCGAGTCCACCAGCTCCCCGAACCTGCGCTCGGCCGGAGTCCACGCCTTCCCGGCCCGTATCCTCACACCCCAAACCTCCCTTGCAGCCGGTATCCCCTCCCCCAGCCTCTCGCTGCCGGCACCCCTCCCTGCACCCTCCCCTTATCTCCGGCGGCCCACCTTCTCTGGAAACTGTCCCGGGGCCGTGTCTTCCACCTCTCAGACCCCTCAGGATCGCGCCGGTCCGAGCAACCCCGGGCCCGGGCACCTCCGTCCCCAGATCCTCCTCGGGCCCGCAAATCCCCTTCGGCCCAGACCTCGGGCAGGGCCTCCCGCTCACCTTGCTGGATGTCGCCGTTGCTGCCCCCCGGGATGGGCACGCTGAGCTGGCGCTCCGGCTCCGGCAGGCAACGCAGGCAGAAGGAGTGAAGGCAGGCTCCGCCAGCAGCTCTGTCCTCATGCCGGCTTTGTGCCTGACAGGTCATGGTGTCCAGGAGCGAGGCTGGCGGTCCAGGAGGCGGCCCCGCCGACGGACCCGAGCGGACAGGCTGGAGCCAGTGTTCAGGGGCCGATGCCGCCCCGAACTCCAGGGCCCCTGAGGCCGCAGGAGGTGCCGGGGCCGAGCCCGAGGCTGGGCACACCCCCCGTCGTCGGGCCCGGCCGCGCCGCTCTCCGCGCCCGCCCTGCCGCCTTCCTCCTCCTCCTCCTCCACCAGCACCGCGGCGAGAGGCGGCCTCTGCGCCGCGGGCCCTGGCGGGCTCGGCAGTTACCGGCGCTACTGCTGCCCCGCCGCTGCCTCAGTCCGCCGCCTTTGTTTTTCCGCCATGTTTTCCTCTTTGAACCCGCCGGACCTGCCCCCCGCGCCGCCCGCCGTCTGCGTCGCTGTTCCGCCCGCCGCCGCCGCCGCCCCAGCCCCAGCTGCAGCCAGCCGCAGCGAGCGGCCGCCGAGAGCGAGCGGCAAGCGAACGAACGAGAGCACGCGCGCACGCGGCGCCCCCGCCCTCGCGTCGCGCGGCTGAAGGAGGGCGGGCGCGGCGCGCATCGATCCTCCTGGGGAGGCAGGAACAGGACTGCCCCGCCCCGCCTGACCTCCGGCCGTAGAGTGTATGTCCGCGCCGCGGCAGCTCGGCTAGCTGCGAGCGTTTAAAGCCAGTGGCGGTGGACGCAGAACCGCCTTTGGCCGGCGCCGGTTATGAGCTCGGACGCGGCGCTGGTGCGGGGAGAAATGCGGGAAAGGGTGGATAGGAGGCCGGCACCAGTCCCTTCGCAGCTAGCGTCTCCCGGGCGGCGCCGTCCCCAGAGGCGGGCGCGTCTCGGCGCAAACCTCACTTGCCGTACATGTCGCACGCCAGGGTCTGCTGGCTCTGAGATGCGGTCCTTCTCGGTCTCGGTGCCTTAACCAGCTGCGTTCCTTTGGGTGATCGTGTCTCAGGGGAGCTGCGAAACGGGGCGCCTTTTTTTTTTTTTTTTAACTGGAGGCCGGCCAGAAATAGGCTGAAAAGACCCCGGGAGGAAGAAACTCTTTAACAGCTATCTTTAGCTTCTTAAGGTGATTGATTCTCAGATGTCTACGTTTCAGAAAACCAACTGAGGAGCTTTTTCAAAGCAGAGATACCATGGCCACACCCCAGACCTGCATCAGGAAGTGGGGGGAGAGGGCTGATGGATGTTGAAAAGTCGCTTCGGCGGATTCCGATGTGCGTCAGTTTGAGGAGCCACCACCGATCTACCCAGTGTTGTGTCCTGAGAGTCCCATGTAGTGTCCCGGCGCGAGTTGCGTTCCAAATGCCCTAATGATATCGATGATAGAAGCTTTCAGAAAGGTTTGTCTCTGTTTGAAAGCAAGTACCCGAGATGTTTATGCAGTGCAAGCGGCTGTTACAATGTTAGGATCACGAAGTGCTTTCGTCTTCTGACAGTGTTCCCAAGGAACTGGTATTCTCTGAGCTCGCACAAGGCCTTAAAAATAAGCCGCCTCAAAACATTTGTCATTTATTCGCTCACAGATACCGACCTCTTACTGTGTAGTAGGGGAGTGTTTTAGAGATCACAGCAGAAAGCAAAGATCTTTGCCTTGGAGGAGTTTGCAATCTAACGGAGGAAGATTGACAATAAATATATGCCAGGGAGTGATAAATACCATGAAGACAAAATAAGCAGAGTAGAAGAAATCAGAAATGACTGGGGAAGGCCTCTGTTGGTAGATGAACAAGACTTGTGACTCTCTTGCAGAAGAGTATTCCAGGCAGAGGAACACAGTAAGTACAAAGGATCTGAGGCAGACAGGGATTCTTGGCTCATTAGAGGAACAGCAAGGAGTCAGAGGGGCTTGAGTGGTTCGAACAAGGGAGAGTAAGTACCACAACATAAGAGAAAGTTAAGGGGGCCAGGTCATACACAGAAATGGTCCTCAGTGTTTTAAACTTATATGCCCTTGGATTTCCTCAAACGTTGTAAGTAGTTGATTCTAAAATTTTTCGTCATACGTGTTAGTTGCAAAGAGTGCAATTACTGACTTTTTGCAATACTGACATTTTTAAGGTGTTACTCTTAAATCTATCCAATGGAAAGGACACCCGGGTGGCTCAGTCGCTTGAGCTTCCAACTTTGGTTCAGTTGTGGTCTCGGGGTTTCTGAGTTCGAGCCCCACCTCGGGGTCGCAGCTGTCAGCGCAGAAGCCGCTTCAGACCCTCTGTCGTCTTCTCTCTGCCCCTCCCCTGCTTGCGCTCTCCCAAAAATAGAATAAATATTTAAATAAATAAATAAATAAAAACATCCAATAGAAAAGTAAACACTAAATTATGTCTGACAAACACCACCGTGCAGTTTAAAACACCAACATTCATCAAAAAATGTTATATTTTGTTAAATAAACATTGAGCATGGAAAGTAATGTGTTATTGGGAATGTCTATGAGATCGCTGGTAGTTTTCTTCTTTTCGATTAGTTCATGTAGACCTGGATGTATATAACATTACTAGGAAGAGATAGGGCCTGGTGTCAATTCCATTTTTCATTTTTATAGATGTAAGCATTGCATAAAAAACTGCATATGTGTGTGTACATGTGATTAATTTTTACGTATGTGACTAATTTCCTTAAAACTATCCTTAACTTTTGTTCCCCTTGGAAAAATTTTCTCTGCTGGAGCACCCAAGGAGTGCTCGGAACCTAGATGTGAGATGCCGAGTGAGATGGGAAGTCTTGATGAGTTTTGAGCAAAGACTCAGTAGTGAAGAGTCACTGTGGCTGCTTCCTGGAGAAATCACGTGTAAGGGTTCAGAGTGGAAGAAAGACCAGGTAGGCTGCTAATAGACTAATAGTTGAAGAATACTGGTTGTTTGGACCTGAGTGGTATCTGTGCAGATGGTGAAAAATATGGAACATATACAATAAAGGGCAAATAGAGACTTTATTCCAAATTCACTTCGAACAAATCAGTTAATGGGGCTGAATCTCTGAAACAGAAGTGTTGCTTCCTTGAATTTTTCTTAACCTTTTGATGCCTGCTACCACTTGCCCTTATTAAAATCTAGTGTGTTTTTGAAAACTATAATTTTATAGAGAGGAATTTGCTCATCATGAAATTTACTGTGTGCTCTAAAAGGGCAGGGCCTGGAATTAAGCTGTCATAGAGTATTTGGGGACACTTAAACAGATACTCTGGTACATGTTGGGGTGCTTGTCTGGCTCAGTCAGTAGAGCACGTAACTCTTGATCTCAGGGTGGTGAGTTCAAGCCCCATATTGGGTGGATAGATAGATAGATAGATAGATAGATAGATAGATAGATAGATAGTAACTCTTGATCATGGGATCGTGAGTTCAAGCCCCACATTGAGCAGATAGATAGATAGATAGATAGATAGACAGACAAACACAAACAAATACCCAAGTACCTCCTTGATTTACAATGGTAGCCCAGAAATCTCAGGGGAGAAACTGAAAACATTCATGAGGTTGAAATACCATATGCACAAACCTGTCTGATGGAGAGAATGCACAGCACAGAGGTTGAATGTATGCCCTACAGCCAAAGTGTCTAATTTGAAGCCTGGTTCCACCACCTACTAGCTGCATAATTGGGGTAATTTGGTTCACGTGCCTCAGTTTCCTCATTTGTAAAAAAGGTATTTGTTATTAGTAGGACCTACCTTAAGGTTGTTTGACAATTAAATAGTTGTGAAGTGCTTATAGTACCTGGCACAGAGTAACCCTGAAGTGAATATAAAAGCACACCCAAAGATCCCTGAAGGGGACTGAACTAGAGGGAGAAATAAAGGTACCTCAGAAGAAAATGTCAAGAAGAGAAATTATGCTAGGGGCTGAACTGAACAGTGGGTGTAAGTAGAGGCTGTGTCCAGCCATTCCCCTGGCCAAGGCTCCCTTTTACCTCTGTCTCTCTTGCGTGACATTATGAGCAAAACACAGTTCTGAAATAAAAGAGAGATCTGTCTCTAGGTGCCTAGCAGCTCTGCTATGGAGAACTACCCCATGCCCCCCTCGAAATTATTGGTAACCAGAGTGGAAGAAACCTTCCAGTTGTCCAGAAAAGAGAAAAAGCACTAGAAGTGAAGGACATGAGATAGGTGAACGATGGTGAGAGCATAATCCACTGGCTGGGCACAGGAGGTTTGCAATAATAAGGCAGTAGCCCAAGAGTAGCAGGAAGACTTGTAAGGGCCAGTTCCGCAGCTCTTGGGCAGAGCAAACATGGTCAACAGCAGGAACAGAAGAGTGCCTCAGGGCCAGCAGAGGAATACTAAACTGCAGTTGAGATTTGGGGCATTTCTCGAATTTCGTAGTTACACTCACGACTGGGTGAGGCCAACAGGTATTAAAGGTGAAATTCTGTGATTTAAAGTTCACTTCTGAACAAAGATTCATAGGCACAAGCACCTTAGACCTAGCTCGTCCTTGGACTTAGCGGGATGTCCAACTTCAGAACAGGGACCTTTCTAACACAGTTATTGAAAGAAGAAATAAAAAGGGGTGATGTTGAGAAGAGTAAGATTTTTTTTTAACGTTTATTTATTTTTGAGACAGAGAGAGACAGAGCATGAATGGGGGAGGGTCAGAGAGAGAGGGAGACCCAGAATCTGAAACAGGCTCCAGGCTCTGAGCCATCAGCCCAGAGCCCGACGCAGGGCTCGAACTCACGGACCACGAGATCGTGACCTGAACTGAAGTCGGACGCTTAACCGACTGAGCCACCCAGGCGCCCCAAGAAGAGTAAGATTTTTGTCCAAAAGTGTGTCCAGTGCCACACCAAGGAAAAGGAAAATAAGCATTAGAAAGAAATTTCCATTGTTTATTTGGGTAGAAGACCAGTCAGGCCCCTGATTCCCTTACACTGACACCAACAAGAACCAAGGCATCATCTGAGGAGAGGTGTATTTGGAGAATACCAAGAAGTACATACCTGGAACAAAAATAATCTTTGCTAGCACTAAGAAGGCAAAAAAGAGGGATGCCTGGGTGGCTCAGTTAAGCATCTGACTCTTGATTTCAGCTCAGGTGGTGATCCCAGGGTCATGGGATAGAGCCCCACATCAGGCTTTGCTGAGTGTGTGTGTGTGTGTCTCAAAAATAAGTAAACCTTAAAAAAACTGCTAATGAGTAATAGTTGGCCACTGCCTTATTTCTTACAAAAAAGAAATCGTGACTTCTTTAATTTGTAACATCTCTTTTTTTTTTTTTAATGTTTATTTATTTATTTTGAGAGAGAGCACACACATGTGGAAGCCAGGAGGTGGAGGAAGCAGAGCGAGAGGAGAGAGAATCCCAAGCTCTGCACTCACAGTGCAGAGTCCGCTGCAGGGCTGGAACTCACAAAGTAAGAGATCATGACCTGAACTGAAATCAAGAGTCGACATTTAACCAACTAAGCCACACAAGCACCCCTATGAGTAACATATTTAAATTGATCTCATGCAAGGGTGCTTGGCTGGCTCAGTTGGTAGAGCATGCAACTCTTGATCTTGGGGTTCTGAGTTCAATTCCCATGTTGGGTACAGAGCTTAAAAAAAAACTGATCTCATACACTAGAATTCTGATCTTGAATGGCTGATAGAATATTTTTGTTGGATAGTCCTGATTTAAATAAAACTGGCTTTTAGTTAAATTAATACAATCACCTTTTTAAATTTTGGTAGTAATTCCAGCTCAGCAAGTGCTAGCACTGCTTTCCCTTCAAAGGTATAACTACACTTGATTAGTAATGTTCGACTTTTCACAGACAGTGAATGCCAACTCAAAACCTATAGGAGATCGCTTTTATATTTCGATTTATATAACTGGTTATATTATTATATTTCAGTACTGAGCAAATGTCTTCACTGTCTCCTAGAACTGAGAAAGACTCACCTGTCTTCCAGTTTGTGTTCATTAGGCTATAGAAGATAAGATAACAATGTCCAGTTTATCTTTTTGGTCTTAACTATGTCATTTGAAATTCCCTGTATCTAAAATATTGCCTTTTACTTTAATGAAAAGCATTTTAGTGTGGCTTATGTATAATGTCAAAGAATATTTAACACTTCTCACATTTTATAAATTATCTGTAAAATTAGATGCTTTTAAAAGTCAACATGACCGGGGCGCCTGGGTGACTCAGTCACTTAAGTGTCCGACTTCAGCTCAGGGTGTGATCTCGCAGTTTGTGAGTTTGAGCCCCATGTCAGGCTCTGTGCTAACAGCTTGGAGCCTGCTTTGGATTCTGTGTCTCCCTCTGTCTCCCTCTGTCTCTGCCCCTCTCTGCTCCTGCTCTGTCTCTCTCTGTCTCTCAATAATAAACATTAAAAAAATGTTTTTAAAAAGTCAACATGACAAAAAAGTAAGTTAAACTCTGCTTTTGAATCCTTTACTATCTAAGTAAGACTAAGTTATAATCAGGATTGTCTTTATTTTTTTATGTTTATTTATTCATTTTTTGAGAGAGACAGAGCGCAAGCCAGGGAGGGGCAGAAAGAGAGGGAGAGGGAAATCCCAAGCAGGCTCCATGTTTCCCACACAGCCCAATGCAGGGCTTGAACTCACAACCTGTGAGATCATGACCTGAGCCAAACCCAAGAGTTGGACGCTTAACCAACTGAGCCACCCAGGTGCCCCTCAGGATTTCTTTAAACAGGTATTCAAAAACACACTAAACTGTAGAACTGTATATTATGATTGGTAGTGGTGTTTTTGTCAACTTACTAGAAGGATTGAAGTAGAGGAGATATACCATCAGCACAGATTTGTGAATGATCTAATCATAAGGCTTAGGATAATTGAAATCATAGAAAAAAAAAATCACTTGTCAGCATTTCATGATGTTCAAAGTGCACTCTGACTTCCAAACTCTGTGTTGTCTAAATGAATTTGAGAACCATTAATAGCAAGAAAGAGGAGACAGTCGGCAGAGTTGAGCCTGATTGCCAGCTCTCGGTTTTTCTATATTTCTCAGGCCTTCCAGGAGCACATTAGTAATACCAGTGACAAACATGACATTTAAACAGGAGTTTATAATTTACAAAGTACTTTCCACATAATCTCTAATTCTTGCAACCAATAAAATACATCCCAAATTAGTCAATAAATAGATATCACGAGTGTACTGTAATGTATTAGCTGTTGTTACACAATACGGTTTTCATTTTTTCTATTATAAACAATATTGTGATAAACATTATGATGCATAATTCTTTGCATGTCTGTAATCATGTCTCCTGAATATTCCTAAAAATAAAATTGCTGATTCAGCAAGTATACCCACTGTAAAAGTTTTTAGTAAATAAATGTGAAGCGTTCCCATTACCTTATTAGATAACCTAATTTGACGTATTTTGCTACTATAAACACAGGTGGAATTAACATGTAATCTTTTTTCAAGTCACAGTTTGTTTCTCTAAAGGTGTCTCCTCACATCCTACTCATTCCTCAATCCACTCCTGTCACCACCAAAACAGCTCTTGATAAGGTCATCAATGACTTCCATGTTTTAAAATCCTTCAGATGTATTTTAATCCCTGACGTTACTCGTCTTCTCAGTGGGATATAACACTGCTGGCCTTCCCTTCTGGAATCCCTTAAGTTTCTTGGCTTTCATGACACCACACTCCTCTGATTTGCCGCTACCTCTTAGACTGTTGTCTCTCTTTTGCAGACCTTATCAGAGGTCCCCACGACCAGTCAAGAAGAAGAATTCACAGACTCAGAAAAGCTATTATACTCATGGTTATGGTTTATTACAGTGAAATGATAAATTAAAATCAGAGAGAAAAGGTAGATGGGTAAAGTGTAAGAGGAAAGGTTAAGAGGCATAAGGTCTCAGGTGTCCCCTTTCAGTGGAATTGCACAGGCATTAATTTTCCCAGCAACACACATGTTGCCAAACAGGAAAACTCACCCGAGCCTTGGTGTACAGGGTTTTTATTTGGGACCTATCACTTAAGCATGGAGCACCCACCTAACTGATCCCAACTACTTGGTCTCCAGCCTACTGAGGTCAAACTGATACACATGGCCCAGGCCGCAAGCATACGAAACACTCTTACTAGGCAGAGTATTCCAAGGACTCAGATACTATCTCCCAGGAGTCAGTCAAGTGCCAGTTTGACCAAAGACAGGCCTTTCTTTGGAAAGGATGGGGTTTAAGCCATCCAGGCCTACTAAGGTAGCCCTTTCCTGCACTCCTTACTCTTGTTAGACTTCCTCAAATACTAACTCTAGACCCCCTTATCTTCTCAGTCGGTTTTCTTAACCCCCTAGGCAAACTCATCTATGCTGCAGGTTTATTTGCCAGACATGCAGTGATAGTTCCTCAGTGTATAACTTTAGCCCAGGTCTAACCTTTGAAGGCTAGATCCATCTTGACAACTGCCTATTTAATATATCCACGTTAATGTCTCAAAGGCACCTCAAATTCAGCATGTTGAAGACTCAATAATCTCCTCCCTAAACCTCTTCATCTTCTTCCACAGTCCCTATCTCATGGGGTTACCATTCACTTAGTTGTACAAGAAAGAAAGACATTTAGAAGATAAATTAACTGATTTTACTGACAGATATAAGAGTGGAAACCTACAACTTGAAACCTACAACTTCTTACCCCTTATATCCAATCTATATTACCCAGTCCTGTCAATTTGACTTTCTAAATATTTCTCCAAACCCTTCCATTTGTCTCTATTTCCATTGTCACCACCCTAAATCAACTTTCCACCCTCAAGATACCACTCCCCTCATCTCCACATGCTCTTGTGACTCCTTTGCAACCCACTGTCTAAACTGTAGTAAGAGTAATCTTTTCAAAGGAAAACTGATCCTTGCTTTTTTTTTTTTTTTACATGTGATTCTTTTTTTTTTTTTTTTCCAACGTTTTTTATTTATTTTTTGGGACAGAGAGAGACAGAGCATGAACGGGGGAGGGGCAGAGAGAGAGGGAGACACAGAATCGGAAACAGCCTCCAGGCTCCGAGCCATCAGCCCAGAGCCTGACGCAGGGCTCGAACTCAGGGACCGCGAGATCGTGACCTGGCTGAAGTCGGACGCTTAACCGACTGCACCACCCAGGCGCCCCGATCCTTGCTTTCTGAATACACATCTCCATGAGTTTCCCTTGCTTTTAGGATTAAAAAAATTTTAAGGGCCTATGAGACCTTTCGTTTGGCCTGGACTACATCTTTAGCCACATAATATCCCACTTCCCCCTTGCTTTTTACAACTTAGCTACACTGGCCTTTCAGTTTCTTCACTGTGCCTTGTTCCATCTTGCCTCAGGGACTTTGTACATTATGGCCTCAAGCTTGAATGATCATTTCCCCTACCACCACCATCCACTCTGCAGAGTTAATTCCTACTCAAACTTGGGGTCCAGCTCAAGCAGTGCTTCCTCAGAAGGCTTCTGTCTAAATCAGTTTCCTTACTGGGGCACCTGGCTGGCTCAGTTGGAAGAGCATGCGACTCTTGATCTCAGGGTCATGGGTTCAAGCCCCATGTTGGCTGTAGGGATTACTTAAATAAACTTTAAGTCAGTTTTCTTTCTTAGATGTTCTGACAGATCCCTGTTTCTTTCCTTCAGAGCTACTATGAGAAGCAGTGTAGTATAATGGTTAGAAGCAGGGGCCAAACTATCTGGGTTTGAATTCCAGCTCTACCACTTATTAGCTGTGTGACCTTGGACAAGTTACTAACTTCTCTCTGCCTAAGTTTCATTATCTGCAAATGGGTAAAATCTGGTGGGCGTAGTAAAACTATATACCTATTACATTTCATATAGTAAGTTATGTGATTAATACATGGGAAGAGTTTGGAATACAGACCAACGACTATAAAGTACAAATATTTCCTTTTGTCATTAAGTTTTCAGTTTGCAATAATGTATTCATTAGCATGATTATCTGATTAATATCTGTCTCTTTTTTTTTTAAGTTTTTTTTTTTTTAAGGTAGGCTCTATACCCAACGTGGGCTTGAACTCGAAACCCTGAGATCAAGAGTCACGTGCTCTATCTACTGACTGAGCCCAGGTGCCTTGATATTTGTCTCTCTTTTTTTTTTTTTTTTAATTTTTTTTTTCAACGTTTTTATTTATTTTGGGGACAGAGAGAGACAGAGCATGAACGGGGGAGGGGCAGAGAGAGAGGGAGACACAGAATCGGAAACAGGCTCCAGGCTCCGAGCCATCAGCCCAGAGCCTGACGCGGGGCTCGAACTCACGGACCGTGAGATCGTGACCTGGCTGAAGTCGGACGCTTAACCGACTGCGCCACCCAGGCGCCCCGATATTTGTCTCTCTTAATAAATTCCATGAGAACAGGGATTATATCTACTTCCGTTTACATGCCATACTTTGGTAACAAGTATTTCTGGATTGGTAAATCTTTCCACTGTTTGTGGGGTCTGAATGGAATATTATCTTCTACTATATGGCTCTGGCTTCTGGGTACCAGTTAGGTGATATTGTCAAGTCACTTATTTTACATAGATCATCCTTACATTCTAACACAGGCAATATCTGTTTCACATGTCTCCACAAAAATGGAAATATATCATCTACATGAGCTACACTAAAGCAATATCATTCAAAATAATGCGAATGTCCACATCCAGGGAATGAGACTTCATGATATAATTTCTAAAGCTTATGAAAGCTTGGTGGAAGAGACGAGCATCAAGTCCATAATCAGCAGCGTTTCTAAATTTCTTTCCTCTTTTAAAACTGGTCTAAGATCTTTACTTCGTTCTTGTCCAGAGAGCCAGTTAGCTCAGCCCCAATGTTGCCATCTGCACTGAGGCCCTGAGGTTTCACAGTCAGCTGTAAGAACAAGGACAAGTTCGGGGTTTTGGAGCCTCCTGAGGGAGAGGAGGAGGGAGAGGCAACATCAGACATGTGCCCCAGAGCCCCAGGAACAGGTCCAATGTGGGCATGAAGGACCAAGCCCACTGCTGCCCCGGGGCCAGCCCAGCTCCCCGCCAGGAGCCAAGCACACAACAGGGCACACAGGGACTTAACAAGGTCTGTTTATAAAGAATTCTCTCAGCCTCATCCCCCCATCTCTGATGATAAGAATGTTGTTTCTCTTGGAATAGGGAAGGCATCTTTCACATGGGAGTTTCATCTCCTGCTTTCAGGAAGAAAAGGGAGGGATCACAGCACGCTTCCTGCACCTGCTGTTTTTTTAAGTGCCTTTTGCTCAAAATAATCCTTGTAACAAAGTGGCATATTTGGGGGTGGCATATTCTGCCACCCCTCATGTATATATATACATATATATGTATATATATGCATATGTGCATGTGTGCATGTGATATAAATACATGTATTCCTCAGGCCTACCCACAGAAAGGCTTGGGAACAACAATACCCCAACAGCAACAAATACTCTTAGGACACCGCAGATCTTGGCTTTCAAATGCTCTTCTCTTTTAGAAAGAACTAGTGCTCCTTGGTAAAATGGCTGATTCTAAGGCTAAGACAGGGAAAATACAAGATGAGTCTGAAATATCTTGTTGTAGGAAGTAAGGAAGTCCTCACAGAATGGTGGCAACACATTCAAAGATCAAAGAAGCCAACTTAAATGAGCTGCCAATAGCCAAATCTGGAACAATTTGAATATCAGAATAAATAATGATAGTAACAGATCATAACTCACTGAATAAAATAGAAAACCATGAATCCAGGGGTGCCTGAGTGGCTCAGTTGGTTAAGCGTCTGACTTCAGCTCAGGTCATGATCTCACAGTCCATGGGTTCACGCCCTACATTGGGCTCTGTGCTGACAGCTTGGAGCCTGGAGCCTGCTCCACGTTCTATGTCTCCCTCTCTCTCTGACCCTCCTTCACTCACACTCTCTCTTTCTCTGTCTCAAAAATAAATAAACACTTAAAAATTTTTAAAATAAAGTTCCAAGGTCATTTGGAAACCACATAAGAAGATGGCAAAGACACAAGACGGAAGGAGCCTGGATTCTTGAATCACTACCTAGTAGGAACATTGGCTTTGGAATTTATGGGAGTGATAATTAAACTTCCATTTGAGCCACTATTCATTTGGGGGAACAACAAAGAATAGTGTCTAGGTCATGAATGTCAAGGAGAGACTGAGGAATTATTCCAGATTGAATGTGATTAAAAAGACATGACAAAATGCAAATCAAACTACAATGGAAAATAAAACAAAACAAAAAACACAGAAACCACAAGGAGCTACCACTTCATATGTATTAGGATGACTATTATTGAAAAAACTAAACAAAACAGAACATAAGTGTTGCTAATGATGTAGAACAATCGGAACCTTTGTGTATTGCTGGTGGGAATGTAGAATGGTACAGGCACTCTTGAAAACATTCTGGCGGTTCCTCAGAAAATTAGAATTTTAATGTGATCCAACGATGTTACTTCTGAGTGTATACCCAAAAGAATTGAATGCAGGAACTTGAACAGATATTTGTATACACCAGTGTTCATAGCAGCATTATTCACAATACTGAAAAGGTGGAAACAACTCAAGTGTCCATTGATGGGTGAATGGATAAACAAAATGTAATATATAAACAAAACGGGACATTATTCAGCTTTAAGAAGTAAAGAAATTCTGACATATGCCACAACATGAATGAACCTTGAAGGCATTATGCTAAGTGAAATAAGCCAGACACAAAAGAGCAAATATTGTATGATTCTACTTATATGAGATACCTAGTGTGGTCAGATTCATAGAGATAAACAGAATGGTGGTTGCTGGGGGCCAGGGGAAGGCGAAACTGAAGAGTTATTGTTTCATGGGTATGGAGTTTCATTTTGGAAAGATGAAAAAGTCGAGATGGTTGGTGGTAATGGTTGCACAACAATGTGAATGTATAAATGCCATTGAACTGTATCTTTAAAAATGATTAAATGGTAAGGGCGCCTGGGTGGCTCAGTCAGTTAAGCATTGACTTTGGCTCAGGTCATGATCTCACAGCTCTTGAGTTTGAGCCCCGCGTGGGGCTCTGTGCTGACAGTCTGGAGCCTGGAAACTGCTTCGGGTTCTGTGTCTCCCTCTCTCTCTGCCCCTCCCATGCTTGCACTCTGTCTCTCCCTCAAAAATAAATAAACATTAAAAAAATTTTTTTTAATGGTTAAATGGCAAATTTGTTTTGATACAAAAGACATTTCTAGAACAATTGGTAAAACCTGAATGGGATCTGAGGTAATAGTAATATATGGGTATTAATATCTTGATTTTGATAATTGTGCTGTAGCTATTTAGGAGAATTATCCCTGCTTGTGGGAAATACGTGGAAGGGTTTGGGAATGATGGGGCATCATCATCTCTGCTGTTTGCTCTCAAATGATCCGGGAAAAAAAAAAGTTTTTTGTGCTATACTTACACCTTTTCTGTATGCTTTAGATTATGTCTGAAAAATTTTTAAACCTTTTTTTTTTTAATGTTTATTTATTTTGAGAGAGAGAGAGAAAGGAAGGGGCAGAGAGAGGGGGAGTGAGAAAATCCCAAGCAAGCTCCTCACTGTCAGCACACAGCCCAACATGGGGCTCTGAACCCATGGATCCATGAGATCATAACCTAAGCCAAAATCAAGAGTTGGGTGCTTAGCTGCCGAAGCCACCCAGGCACACCTCCAAAATTTTTTTAAAGGTAAAATAAAAAAATTGAAATTAGCAGTGATTAAACAGTTGACAAAAATGAGTCCTGGGTTAGTTTTAGCATCAGAATTTGAGCTCAGGTCTCCAGGAGCACTTTCCCATATAGTCCATGGGATGTTCCTATAATAAACACTCCATTGGTAGTATATATATATTTTTTAAGCTATTTATTTATTTTGAGACAGAGAGACAGAGACAGTGTGAGCATGGGAGGGGCAGAAAGAGAGGGAGAGAGAGAATCTCAAGCAGGTTTCACGCTGCTAGCTGCGGAGCCCAACTCGGGGCTTCAACATGACCTGAGCTGAAACCAAGAGTTGGACATTTAACTGACTGAGCCACCCAGGTGCCCTGGTAGTATGTATTTTAGATATATGAAGTTTTATTTGTGAAAGGACGGCTTTTTCTAACTACCTAGCACATTATTGTGTTAATGAGTCACCATCCTCAAGAGATACCAAAAGTTAACAATAAGAAAAAGAAAATGGAAAAAGAAAGCAAGCTGATGAATACATAATTATGTCTGTTTTCTGAAACCAACTATAAATGATTTTTTTAACTTTTTAAAATATTTTGTATTACATTTGTCACAGAAATGTGTGGATTTACTGGAGGATGTACTTTATAACTTCCTTTGGTTGTAAATATACTGTGGTCAAACAGGATTTGTGGCCTATTTAAATTACTTTTATATTTCCTTTGGCCTCAAAAGGGCTTTTTTATTATGTAAATATACAAATTAATCACTGAAAGGAGAAGTTTAGAAAGCTGTTTGGGATTGGAATAGAATTGCTAAATAGATTTATGTGTAATGTGTCTGAAGAGCCCAAAAGAATTGAAGTCTGGAACTGACCTTGGGGGTAGGAGGGACTCTCAGGAGCAGTTTTCCATTTAAGGACCAAATGAAGATGTCAAAGGTCAGGGCCAAATCCATTTCTGCATGGCCACTGGAGGGAAGAATGGTTTTAACTGATGGATATTTGCAAATGATTTGAGCCCCAATTAAGTAAAACGTTACTCCTAAAAAAATTTTTTTTTAAAATTTTTTTAAACGTTTATTCATTTTTTGAGAGACAGAGAGAGACAGAGCATGAGGGGGGAAGGGGCAGAGAGAGAGGGAGGCACAGAATACGAAGCAGGCTCTGGGCTCCGAGCCGTCAGCACAGAGCTCCATGCCGGCCTGGAAGTCATGAACGGCAAGATCTTGACCTGAGCCAAAGTTGGACGCTCAACTGACTGAGCCACCCAGGCGTCCCCTAAAAAAATTTTTTTAATTAAAAACAAATTCCCTTCTTCTCATCGGCAGATGTGTGTGTGTGTGTGTGTGTGTGTATGACTGCATAATATATGTAGGTGTATTTAAATATATAAATAGCTATATAATATCCTTGATTTCACCTCTTGGCCTTCAAAATCTACAATATTTATTATCCAAAAAAATAAATAAAATAAGATATTTACTATCTGATAAATTTTTTTTTTTAATTTTTTTTTTCAACATTTTTTATTTATTTTTGGGACAGAGAGAGACAGAGCATGAACGGGGGAGGGGCAGAGAGAGAGGGAGACACAGAATCGGAAACAGGCTCCAGGCTCCGAGCCATCAGCCCAGAGCCTGACGCGGGGCTTGAACTCACGGACCGTGAGATCGTGACCTGGCTGAAGTCGGACGCTTAACCGACTGCGCCACCCAGGCGCCCCACTATCTGATAAATTTTTTAAAAAATTAAAAATCTGGGGCACCTGCCTGGCTCAGTCAGAAGAGAGTGCAGCTCTTGATCTTGGGGTTGTGAGTTTGAGCCCAACTTTGGGTGTAGAGATTACTTAAAAAAATAAATAAACTTAAAAAAATAAATATTTACTATCTGTCCCCTTACGGAAAGTGTTTGCCAAGCCTTGTTCTAGAAATAAGCAATGGTCTACGTTCATATGAAGAGTAGAGTTGTGATAGAGTTGAAGGAGTTTTTGATAGACTTAATTACTTGCAAAGAGTTGTCTGCTAAGAGTGAGGGAAAAGTGGCTGACTGGGGCGAAAACAGTCATAAAGTCTTGAAATAAGCCGTGGGAACTTCCTCCGGATGATAAAAGAAAAATTCAAATCATGGGGAAGTGTTAGATTCTTAATAAGTGGTGTCTGTACTGCAACTGGCTAGTCACACGCAGCAAAAAGATCATTACGTCACTCTTCACCAAGTAAACTTTGGATAAGATGAAAATTTCATTTCACTTCATTTCATTTCATTTATTTGAATATTTTAAATGTGAGAGAACGAGAACGTTAAAGTACCAAAAGAAAGTTTGGGTAAATATCTTTTTTTTAAACTTTATTTATTTATTTTGAGAGACAGAGAGAGCACGAGCTAGCACTAGGGCAAAAAGGGAAGAGAAAGAATCCCAAGCAGGCTCCATGCTGTTAGCACAGAGCCCAACATGGGGCTCAGTCTCACAAACTGTGAGATCATAATCTGAGTTGAAATCAAGAGTTGGATGCTTAACTGACTGAGCCACCCAGGCCCCCCTGGGTAAATATCTTTTATAAATTTGGGATGAGAAAGGTCTTTTGAAACTTGATGAAGAGTTAAGAAACAAACGTTGAGCCTGTATGTTTGACTACATAAAACATTTTATGTTTTTAAAATGTTTTTAAAATTTTAAAGCAGATATAACCCTCCTCCCTTAAAAACAAACAAAAACAGATAAACAAGGCTAAAAAGCAATCCACAAATGGAAATATATGTGTATACGTGTGTGTACATACACAACACACATACTAAACAGTTAGGTTTGTACCTATTAACAACACCTTTTGTTGCTGGTTTTTAAAATTTTCATCAGGGGTGCCTGGGTGGCTGAGCCAGTTGAGCATCCAACTTTGTGCACATCATAATCTCACAGTTTATGAGTTCAAGCCCCACATCAGGCTCTCTGCTGTCAGTGTGGAGCCTGCTTCAAATCCTCTGTCCCCCTCTCTCTCTGCCCCTACTTGTGTGCCAATTCTCTCTCTATGACTTTCTCTCTCTCTCTCAAAATAAACTTTAAAAAAAAAAAAATAGGGGTGCCTGGGTGGCTCAGTAAGTTAAGCGTCTGACCTCGGCTCAGGTCATGATCTCACAGTTTGTGGGTTCAGCCCCTTCAGGAGCTCTGTGGTGGGCAGCTCCTGTCTCTCAGCCCTCCCTGCTCCACCTCTCCTCTCTCTCTCTCTCTCAAAAATAAATAAAACATTAAAATCTAAAAAAACAAAAAAAAAGAACACTGTCAGTGAAGTTAAATTCTTTGTTTTGTGAAGAGTCGTTAAATATTGTTTGTCTCAGGGAGAACTCGTTGTTTTCTCAGTTGGCTATCTGACTTCAAGCTCAGGTCACGTCCCTACAGTTTGAACCCTGTTTCTGGCTCTGCACTGACTGATGTGGAGCCTGTTTGATTATCATCATCCTCCCTCTCTCTACCCCTCCCCCACTTGTGTGCTTTCTCAAACCAAATTTACAAAAAACTTTAAAATTAATTCAAAAAAATGACTCCTCCTGCTGCAAACATGGTGGAAGTCACTGCACGTCGTATCCCTGAAGGTGCTAACAAAACTTTGGGGGTGTGTATGTGTGTGTGTGTGTGTGTGTGGCTGTGTGTGTGACAATGTGGTGTGTATGTGCAGGCATGCTTCCTCTCTCCTAATGACAAAACTGCCTTACCCTTTGCCTAGTCATGGGGGAAGGATAGAATCAGTTTAATCCGTATTACCCCATAGGAAAGAGGGTTAAGACCCAGTTTCTACTAAGTTCTGAATTTAAGGAGAAACTTTAGCCATACACTTCTTTTGAGTAGTGAGTGGCCAGGAAGACTTAGTGAGCACCAATTTGGATTCTCTCTGTATTTGACCTTAGAGAATTCTTGAGTGCCTGGTGGCTCAGTGGTTGGTGTCAGATCTTGATTTAGAAACAGGTCATGGATCTTGCCAATATGGGATTAATTTGATGTCAAACTCCTTGCTGCACAGACAGACCCCTGCTTGTGACTCTCTCCGCCTCCTCCCTCTCTCTTTCAAAATAAATAAAACTTTCTTTGGCGTGGAAGAAGGCATAACGACGCTGGCGCCAGGTGGATGGTGATGGAAATGGAAAGCCGCAGTGGGAAGGCTGGACACTTGTGGGGCAGGGGGAGTGCCAGCCGGCGGCATGACAGTGGCGACGTGTAACTGCATTTTGAGAGTTTGTGGGTGTTTAATTTGCACTGAGGCAGGGGAGGCAGGCATGGTGGAGGCAGGCGAAGGCAGTAGGCCAGGTAAGAAGCATTTGGTGAAAAAGCCATGGCATTGTGGACAGTGTGGACAGACAGGAGTGCAGTGTGGTGGTGGTTCAGACAGGATCCAGGACTTCAGACCATCCAGGACTAGTTTGGCAGGCAGGCTGGTGGCTGGCT